GGAATTATTTAATTTTCAACTGTAAATCATATAAGACCATCTCCAACCTTTTGTAAAAGTAAAAATTTTGCTATTTTTGCAGATGTGTTCTTCAATCCATTCTAAAGCTATAGCTTGTCACCCACTCGGATGAGAGGGTGAGGATTTTATTTATTTATTTATATTTTTATTTTAATTTAAAAACTAATTAAAAATTATTTTTAAATTATAATTTTGTTTATTTTTTGTTTATAATGTAAATTATTTTTTATATTTATATATATTTTAATTAGTATTAATTTCTGTATTGTATTTATTATATTTAATCAAATAATATTACATATTTTTATTTATATATTGCATAAATATTATTTTATAATATTACATTTTTAACCTTTTAATTTAAAAAATATTTATTATTTTTTATGATCAAATAATAAATTTTTTATTTAATTTATTAATATAATTTCAATTATTTTCAAAATTAAATATATAAAATAATAAAATATTTGATATTATTTATAAAATTAAAAAATTATAAATATATATATGATAAAATAGAGATAAAATATTATTTGATTATGAAAAATATAGGCTATAGTTGAAGATGAATTAATATAGCCGTTAAGATAGAGTGCGTGATTGGAGATGACTTATATCACCTCCTGTTTAAAAAAATGCCGAAAACAAAAAAAAGGAAAGCAAACTGTTTTTTTTAATCCCGTAACTGACCTCCTTATTATTTTAGTCTCGAAACTGGAGGTTGTCGCAAGCTAGTTCGATAAGTGAAAAATTTTCGTTGTTTTAGTCATTTGGCGCCGGAGACACCCGCGTGGCTCGTCGGACGCCACGTGTCCATTAGGTGTGCCACCATGTCAGCGACACCTGAAGAACACCTTGATTTTACTTTTTTTTTTTTTTCAATTGGACCAAATAAAAAAAATTAAAAAAGACAAATAAAATTTATAAAATAAAATAAAATCCACGTGTCGCTGACCTGGTGGACACGTGGCCTCCGGCGAGCTACGCGGGCGTCTCTGGTGCCGGAAGACTAAAACAACGAAATTTTTTTACTTATGGAACTAATTTGCGACAGACTCCACTTACGAGACTAAAATAATAAAGGGTTCAGTTACAGGACAAAAAGAACATTTTAACAAAAAAAAATAAAAAATAAAAAATTATAAGTTAAAGATGGTTTAAATAAAATTATTTTTATTTCGCTATCCTTATTTATTCATATCAAACAGAAAAACACACCATTATTGTTAGTTATTAATAATGTTATTAAAATATTTAAACTTTTTATTTTTAGATATTTTATGAAAGTTTTTATGTGTTTCTTTCTATTCGATGAATGAATCCGTTTTTTCTAATTTTATTCTACATCAATTATTCCTTTTACTTGTGGTATTGGTATTCGATTGTATATAGTATATTTCTATCCACAATACCTACATTTTAGAGATAATTATACTAATTAATTGATAATTTTTATAAATTAATTTTTATTATGAAATTTTTCTTTGATTCTTGTAATTAAAAAATAAATAAATTATTTAGGGTAAACTGTTTCTTTTAGTCCCGTAATTGAACCTCTTTATCATTTTAGTCCCGTAGAGCATGTCGCAAATTAGTCTCATACGTGAATTTTTTTTCCTGTTTTAGTCATCTGGCACCGGAGACGCCCGCATGGCTGGCCGGAAGCTATGTGTCCAGCGACACCCGACGGACATGTGAATTTTTTTTTTCATTTTTTTAAATTTCTTTTAAAAACTTATTTTTGATTTATTTTTAATTTTATTTGTATTTTTTAATTTTTTTATTTGGTCCAATTAAAAAAATATATATATATTTACGTGTCCGTCAAGTGTCGTTGACCTGCCGGACATGTGGCTTCCGGCGAGCCACGCGGGCGTCTCCGGCGCCGGAGGACTAAAACAACAAAAATTTTCCACTTATGGGACTTATTTGCGACAAACTTTACGTACGGAGCTAAAATAGAAGGGGATTCAATTACGGAAGTAAAAAAATAGTTTACCCAATTATTTATTGTGTAAATTATATACTTGAAAGAATAAATACAGTTAAAAAATTGACTCAATAAAAATTCTGAATTTCAAATTTAGGATCAATTAATTTTTTTTTTTTAAAAAAATTATCAATACAATGATTGAAAAACCACAGAGGGATATGAGCTTATGAAAATTAGACTGTGCTGGTTCATATTAAAAAAAAAGTTAAAAAAAAATAATTTTTTTATATAATTTTTTTTAAGGATAAACTGTTTATTTTAGTCTCGTAACTAGATCCCTTATCATTTTAGTCCTGTAAGTGAAACCTGTCGCAAACTAGTCCCATAAGTGAAAAATTTTCGTTGTTTTAGTCCTCCGGCACCGGAGACGCCCGCGTTATTTTTTATTTTCATTTTTTTTAATTTTTTTTAAAACTTATTTTTCATTTATTTTTAATTTTATTTGCATTTTTTTATTTGGTCTAATTAAAAAAATTAAAAATAAATGAAAAAAAAAAATAAATCCACATGTTCGCCAGGTCAGCGACACCTCGCGGACACGTCACCTCCGGCGAGCCACGCGGGCGTCTCCGACGCCGGAGGACTAAAATAGCGAAAAATTTTCACTGATGAGACTAGTTTGCGACATACTCCACTTACGGGACTAAAATGATAAGGGAGTCCAGTTACAGGACTAAAAAAACAATTTACCATTTTTTAAAATATATATACAATTAAAAGTTAAATATAAATTTAATGTTCCAAAACTCAAAATCTCCATGTATTCTTTTTACAATATATATATATATATATATATTTTAGAAAAGTTAATATATTACCTATGTTAAATTATTTTTTCTCCTAATTGGGTCTTTTATCATTTTAGTTCCATAAGTAGAGCATGTCGAAAACTAGTTCCATAAGTAAAATTTTTTTGTTGTTTTAGACGGAGGCCCGCGTGGCTCGCCGGAGGCTACGTATCCGCCAGGTCAGCGACACCTGGCGGACACGTGGATTTTATTATTTATTATTTATTTTTTTAAATTTTTTTAAAAATTTTATTTTTAATTTTATTTGCTTTTTTTTTAAATTTTTTTTATTTGGTCCAATTGAAAAAAATTAGAAAAAAATTAAAAAATTAAAAAAAATAAAATCCATGTTTCTGCCAAGTGTCGCTGACCTGACGGGACACCTAGCGGACACGTGGCTTCTGGCGAGCCACACGGGCGTCTCCAGCGCCGAAGAACTAAAACAACGAAAATTTTTCACTTATGGGATTAGTTTGCGACAGACTCTACTTACAAAATTAAAAAACAGTTTACCTTTTATTATTTTTATATTATTTACCCACGAATTTCTATTAGTCAAGGTCACATAACGCACACTTAATACATTAAAAATTCCTTGAATTTAAATTATCAATAAAAATATAACTTATTAATAATATTATACTACAAAATATAACTTTTATAATTCTAAAAACATAATATTTTTAAATTATAATTTGTTTTGTTTTTCTTGCACAATCCGGAAAGGTAAAATTAATTTGGCACAAAAAAATGGGATCAATTTTTGTCATTTCTACTGAGGATAATAATTTAATTATAGGCTTAAAAAAATAAATATGGTTAATTCATTTTATAAAAATATCTTTTTTTAATTAATAATAAAGAGTTTATTTGGTTTCGATTTAAAATTAAATTTTTTATTTGAATTTTAATTTAAATAATATTTTGATATAATAATTTAAAAAAACAATCAATTTGTTTATCCAATATTTTTTTTGAATAACACTATTTTTTAATATTAAAAAAATTGTTAAATAATTAAAAATTAAATATAAAATATTATTTTTATATTATCGATATGATTTTTAATATCCAATATAAAAATACATTTATAAAAAATAAAAAAATATTATATTTTTATATTATGGAGACGTTTTTTCATATCTAATTGATAAAATTATTGAAACTAATATTATTGTATTTTCTAATATTTATTAATTTTTTTGAAATTTTCATTATTAATTATAATTAATTGAAATATTTATTTTTATCATTGTAAAAATATTTTATAAATAATAATAATATTTTCTCCGTCCGTCTCTAAGGGTTACATTTTACCTTTTGCATCATGTACTTAATATTAAAATATTTTCATATTTGTATATTTTTTGCGAAAATGTCATTATAATCTTATTATAAGATTCTATAGAAATATTTTTGCTATTTTTCCTTAAATTATATATGTTTTGATATAATAATTAATATTAAAAAATAAATGAAACTCGTCTAGCGGAAATGAAGGTAGTATATATTAGCATGTGTATGGAATAGCGTTTGAGAATTCAAAACAGTATAAATAAAAATAGTAAATAATTTTTTTAAAAAGAAATAGTAAAAAATTAAATATTTGAATAATAAATTAAATATAATTTTTGTAAAACTGAAATAATATAATATAAATAATTATAAAAATTAAATAATACAAAAAGAATAAAAAAATAAAAAAAAAATGTACTGCACCATCATTTCTCTCAATTTCTCTGAATATACGAGATAAATAAAAACAAAGAAATTAAAATGATTTATTTTTCAAATTTACTCAAACAAACAAGAGAAATGCAAACATTTCAATTTCTTTTGTGCCAATTCCCTGTACCAAACACGCCCTAAAAAACTTTTAAAGTGAAAGAGTCAAGAATAATTTAATTATTTTTATAATATATTAAATAAATAAATTGAAATAAATTCATAAATATAATTGATAAGTAGTCGTCCTTATCGTTAGTTTTTTTGGGAGAGTTTGTTAGTTGTTACCACCAAATCTTCAATAAATATTTATTAGTATTGCAGAATAAATATAAACTAAAACCCTGCACCTGCAAAGCCTTCGTGTTCATTCCCTCACACCATCTTCTAGCATATTCCATAGCTCTCTAATCGAATTCTGGAGCTGGAGGTTGAAGAAGATTTGGTTGCAGAATTAATCAGTGGTTTTTAACCATAAATGACAATAGGTTTCACCGTCGGCCTTGAATTCTGTCCGGCGAGTCGCGTGATTTTCCGGCCAACATTCCCGTTCGTGAGTGTGGATACGACGTCGTCGCCGTCGCCGGAGTCTGGCACCGTTTCTGAACTTCTTCTAGAATCTTCCGTCGCAAGGTACTGACTGATGTTATTGTTTTCTGTTTTTTGTGATTTGTTCTGTGTGCGGAGGTTCCTCCATTGTTGAACCTGCAAAATTCCTGTTCCAAGTTTTAGAATTAATTTTTTTTTTCTTTTTGTTTGAGTAAATAAGTATTTAACACGAGAATAGTGTTCATGAATTCAAAAGAATCGATTTTCTAAGGTTCAATTTCGTTTGTGAACGAAGGAAAAAGATCAAGGTAGGGGCGGCAGCTTCTTTTAGGGCAAAAAAGCTTGTATATATAATTTTAATAATATACTCCCCCCTATCCTATAAATATAGTATTAATTGGATTTGACAAAAATATTGATATTATATTGGTATTAGATAAAAAATATAGATAAATGATTTTTTTTTCTATTATTAATGACAATTGTGTAATAAAAATGAAAAAGTAGAGGTAGTTTTATGGTTACACGATTATTTATGAAAATAAGAATATTGAGACTATTGTTTTGGGACGGACAAAAATAGTAAATAAAACTATTGTATTGGGACTAAGGATGAAAAGAATATTATATTCTATTATATAATTTAAATACTCCCTCTCTTCTTCCAGGGTGGCGTTTGCTTTTTGCACGTAGATTTTTGAATATTAGTATTATATTGGATTGTAGTAAAAAAGATAAAAATATTCCCAGTATGGTAATGTAAAAATAATGACATTTGTGTAATATTTTGTAAGTTGAAAGGGTATTTATTATGTTAAATAGACGGTGCAATTACTAAATTAGGAAATTGTAACCTTGTTTTGGGATGGACAAAAATAGAAAATGATAACCTTCAAATGGGACGGAGGAACTATTATTATTATTATTATTATTATTATTATTATTATTATTATGCAAGATTGAGAAAATCTGATCAAGTAACATCCTTATTCTTATTGGTTGCAGCTTTGATTCACTCCAATTGACTTGACTTGTTACCGTAATTATGGAGGCTATTCCAAAGGTAGTTTATCGTTTTAGTTCTTCTTTGGGTGTTTTTCATGATCTTAGATCACATACTGGATGTGAAAAATTAATTTAAATATTAACCATCGATTAAATAAGGATAATTTAGTCAATTTAAACATTATTTTTTGAATCAAATTCAGCACTGAATTGAGCATGTCATCCCATTTGAGTTTTTATTGTGCAAATTTTAAGTAGAACCTAAGCAATGTATTAAGGGTGCGTTTGTTTAGTATTTAAGTTTGTCGTCTTGAATTTATTACCGGATCTTTATCTTGGGCGATTAAAGGGATTATTTTTCAAGATCGGAGCGTCAATTTTTTTTTTTTTTTTTATTTTTTTTTATTTTTTTTTATCATTTACGGGTGAGGATTAAAAATTGAAGTAATGATAGAAAAGAAGTCGGCACTCTGATCTTGGAAAACCAATCTCATTAATCATCTTCAAGGTTCCACTTTAAGGATTAAGAATTGCGCTGATAATATAAAAAGATAACAAGTTCTAATTTTCCATGCATCTTTGAAATATTTTGTCTACTTGGGATAGTTTTTGAGTAAATCTTCCTCATCATTCGTTTTAATCTTTTAGGGAACCATTCATATAGAAGAATCACTGCAACTAAGTTGCGAAGACAATGCAAAAGCGGTCAAAAACAAGAAGTCGGGTGGTTGGGGTCCTGCAGCTCTTCTGCTATGTATGAGTTTCTTTGCTTTTGTACACATCTTTTTATTTCCTTCGAAAGAAGATAAAAAATTGTTTCTATGTTCTTATGATTCAGTGAATCAAGGACTTGCAACTCTGGCTTTCTTCGGTGTCGGGGTGAATTTAGTATTATTCTTAACTCGGGTCCTTGGTCAAGACAATGCATCGGCTGCTAACAACGTTAGTAAATGGACGGGGACTGTTTACCTATGCTCTTTAGTTGGCGCATTTCTTAGCGATTCGTATTGGGGGCGATACCTTACTTGCGCTCTTTTTCAAGTTATATTTGTCATGGTAAGTTCAAGATTTTAAAAGTTCAAGATCTGAATTATCGAATAATTTTTGAGATAATGAAATATGCATTATTGATTTTTTTTCAGGGCCTGCTGCTCATATCTTTATCGTCTTGGTTTATGTTACTCGAGCCGAGAAACTGTGGCGACGGCACGATAACCTGCAAGCCGAGTACTTCATCAGGTTCGGCCATATTCTACTTGGCGATATATATGGTAGCTTTTGGCTATGGCGGTCACCAGCCCACTTTAGCGACTTTGGGAGCGGATCAATTCGAAGAGTTGATCCCTAAACATAGGAATTCGAAATTGGGTTTCTTTAGCCTTTTCTACTTCTCACTCAATGCTGGTTCTTTGTTTTCGAATACCATATTGGTTTACTTCGAAGATACCGGGAAATGGACACTTGGTTTCTGGTTAGCCACCGGCTCTGCTGTTCTGGCATTGATTGCATTCTTGCTCGGCTCCTCTAGATACCGGTATGTCGAAGCATCGGGGAACCCGATACCACGTGTTATGCAAGTGTTCGTCGCGGCATTCAGGAAGTGGAATGTGACTCGTATGGAAGGCGAGTCGTTGTACGAGGTTGAGGGGTTCGAATCCGCCATTCAAGGAAGCCGGAAAATCAACCACAGCGACGAATTCGCGTAAGTTTACATTCAATACGTCCAATCTTGTTTCTAAGTTAGTCATGTTAGAATATGAAATTGGTATACTCTATTTCAATTATAAGAACGCGTAGATGACGACGGTTAGAGTGCTGACATAATCAAATTAACATGGTACTGATTTGACCAAGTTAGTACATTAATTTGAAACAATTATTATTTCATTACAAAGACATAATATATGCTATGTTATATAGAAGTATGTGTTGGGGTGAGTTATATATTATATTATGTTGTATAATCCGCTTATTGTGCAAGAATTACATATGCTACATGAAATTAGATAATATGTCAGAATACAATTGGTATGCTAAAATCAACTATTGTGGCGCTGCATACAACTATAATATGTGTTGTTAATTCATGTGTTTATTTGTATTATAGTGTGTTGTCTGTTGTAATAATGTGCACGGTCTGTCGTCAGTCACACGGTGTGCTATCAGCATGTAACCGCCGCCGTATATATATATTCCAAACATATCTTAATAAGTCCTAACCATATCTTCATCGACCACAAATTTCAGGTTTCTCGACAAGGCCGCAGTAGTAACAGAGGAAGACCGCTTCCCACCAAATCCATGGCGACTCTGCACCATAACCCAAGTCGAGGAAGTCAAATGCCTCTTCCGAATGCTCCCAATATGGCTATGCACCATCACATACTCCCTAGTCTTCTCCCAAATGGCCTCCGTCTTCGTCGAGCAAGGCGATGTCATGAATTCTGACGTCGGAAAATTCCACATTCCGGCCGCCAGCATGTCCGCCTTCGACATCTGCAGCGTCCTCATCTTCACCGGCATCTACCGCCAGATCATCACCCCTATAGCTAAAAGGCTCACCGGCAACCCCCGGGGCCTAACAGAGCTCCAACGCATGGGCATCGGAATAATCATTTCGATGCACGCCATGGTCGCCGCCGGCGTAACGGAAATGGAGAGACTCAAGAGGGTAATTCCGGGAGTCCGCGTCAGTCCGATGAGTATATTCTGGCAAATCCCTCAGTACGTGCTGGTCGGAGCGTCGGAGGTTTTTATGTACGTCGGGCAATTGGAGTTCTTCAACGGCCAAGCTCCCGACGGGATCAAGAGCTTCGGGAGCTCGCTGTGCATGGCGTCGATTTCGCTCGGGAACTTCGTGAGCAGCATGTTGGTTAATGTTGTGATGAGGATCACGACGGGAGGCAATCGGCTTGGCTGGATACCGGAAAATTTGAATCTCGGACATATGGATCGATTCTACTTTCTGATCGCGGCGCTCACAGCCGTCGATTTTGTTGTTTATGTGTTTGCTGCCCGGTGGTATAAGGCTATAAACTTTGAAGAGAGTTCTCATTCTTTGAGCACGAACGAAGAAGAGGGTTGAGTTTGAAAATCTTGTTTGATTTGTCTATGGCTTTTCTTTGTCTTGAAAAGTCGAAAATGACGATTGCTTGGGACTATAAGACCTATTATATATATATATATATATATTGTGTAGTTTAAATTATGTTTTTTTTTTTAAATTGCATTTTTATTTTATTTTTTAAAATTTTTTAGTTATGTGTTTCATTGATGTGTCAATTTTGGATTGCCACTTTAAATGGACTGCATAAAAAAGTACTCATTTTTTATTGTACTAAAGTATATTTGTACTGTTTTTAGGTGATTATCTGTTTTTATGAATTAATAAATTTGCCCTTAATTGTATGGTAGAGATTAAAAGTAAAAAATGAATGAAGGGTAAAAATGTAAAATTTGTGTTTACAAAAGGATATACGACAATAGTTGACAATAGTTGTTGAACAGGACATTAATTTGTTGACGAAGGAAGTATATGTTGACGGAGGAAGTATATATTAAAAATAAAAAAAAAATAAATTAGATGGACGGAGAGAATATATTATGGGACTATTTAAAATCTATAGGTGGAAATTGTATAATATTAATTTTTACACAATAAATTAATAAGTGCCTATCTCAAAAAATCATACATCTACACCAAAATTACCTATTAAATACACTTTAAAAGTATTAAATACAATTTATTCAAATATTTGGATTTTTAAGATGATACGAAAAATATGGAAGAAGGGTTGTTCAAGTTCGGTGATACCGACTATAGAAGGGACGAGGTGTTTTTGAGCTAGGTCCCTTATGGTATTAAAAATCGTATATTCAAATTAGGGTTATTGGCGTCGAAAGTGCTTGAACAATCGTCTTTCAGTAGCGACGGTCGTATCCTTATAGTTGATCCAACAGACGAGGAACACAGATTAAAGTTAGAGCAAGAGCAACGATTTTCGAAAAAACAAAATATGACCATCATGAAACACGTGATGAGGATTCAGTAGCAACGATTTTGGGAAGTACTATTCTCTCGTACATTTTTCTTATAAATATTTCCAATTGAATATTTTTTTTTGGAAAAATCACTCATTTTTTTTGTTAGAGAATTCCCCAGATCAAATTAGCGAGCACGAATATTACAATGGATTCTATTATTTTGTAAATGCTTTTATCGAGGGGAATAATATGATTTGCGAGAAAAATTATTCTTTGCAAATCAATTAATTTTATTTTATTTTATTTTTATAATCACTGTATTTAATTGTCTACAAAATATTATATACAATTTAAAATAAAGGTTTTTTTTTTATTTTCTTTTTATTTTTTATGGTACGTCTGATTTACCCCGTGATTATACTATAAGTAACTCTAATATACTTCGTCTCTGAGGGTCATATTTATTTATTTTTTTTCGTCATTTTATTTAACATTAAAAATATTTTTATATTTGTATTATTGTTTGTACAAATGTTCTTTTATTAGCATAAGACACTAATAAAAATATTTTTGTAATTTTTTCATAATTTGTTTTTTTTTTCCTTTCTTTGTCATAATTTTTTTAAAATTTTTTATTTATTTTTCTTAAGACACACGTGCACAAACGTAATTTTAAAAATATATTTTTTGTTCACACAAATTTACAATTCACAATACAATTCAACTTATAAAAAATTGAATAATATTTTAGAAAAAAATTATATATTCCCTCCTTCTCGAAACTGTAATCTTGATTGTATTGGACACGAGATTTAAAGAATATTGATATTACATTGACAGTGAATAAAAAAATATAAATAAAATATATTTTTATCTTTGTGAGTCTATTAGTGTAAAAGATAGTAACAATTGTGTAATAATAATAAAATATTAAGGATATTTATATAATGATATGTTTATTTATGAAAATAAGACTATTATTTTAAAACGAACAAAAATAATAAACAAAAATATTATATTGTACGGAGGAAGTTGAATTTAATGCAAAAGTAAAATCGTAATCAAACAGACCGAAATGGTGTCAGCAAAAGGGTGGCGATAAGGACGAGTGCGTATTACAGTGGCACTGCACGAGACGCCCACGTGTCGACTTTTGGTGATTTGTAAGACTGCTTATCAGTTATGAATCCTTTTCAGCTCATTTATGTATCTATTTATTATTTTTGTCCTTTACTGAATTTTGTTTTAAATGAATTTGTTTCGGCATGCTCACCTAATTATTTAATTAATGTCAAAGAATTTCAAAATTATATACTAAAAAATACTCCATGTAATATGAGTGTATTGTCGTAGACACATGAATTTAGGTAAAGTATAATTAGTAAGTAATTAAGAAATGTATTAATAAAACTAATTATTTAGTAAAAATAATTATAAATTAAGATTAAGATAAGTAAATAGTTTAATTAAAATTAAGAAAATTATAAAATTTAAAATACGATTAAACTGCATAATTATATTTTCAAAAATAGAAAGAACAAATTATTTGAGACGAACGAAAATAGAAAATAGAAACAACTTATGTGGGATGGGAGGAGTATATTAATAAATTACACAATTAATGCGACTCGCCCTTCAATATGGCGAATTTGGATAAGGTGACGCAAAGTTCAACGACGGGGGCAACCACGTAAACTGAACTAACTATTTTAAGTCGTGAGTTTCATTAATTTTACAATCATTAATACAATTAAAATATTTAAATACATAATTTAAATATAGTACTTCATCCGATTCCATAATGATGTATTTATTTATTTATTTATTTTTTACAAAATTTTAAAAATATTAGTATTATATTAGAATATAGTAAGAATAAAGTATAAATGATTAAAATAATCTTATTAGTATTGTGTGATATAAATGTAATGATATTTGTGTAATATATGGTAAGTTGTAAGGATATTTGTAATGTTAGACAATCAGTACAATTCTAAAAAAGAAATGAATATTTTGTTATGGGATGGACTAAAACAGAAAAATAAATACTTTGTTATGGGAGGAATGGGGTATTATATTGACAGTGGGTAAAAAGTACGGATAATTTTTTTTTTTGTCCTTGTGAGTGTATTAGTGTAAAAAGCAGTGACAATTGTGTAATAATAATGAAAAAATAACGGTAATTTTATAGTAATATGATTATTTATGAAAATGAGATTATTATTTTGAGATAGACAAAAATAGTAAATAGGACTATTGTATTAGGACGGATTAAACGTACATTGTATTATCGATTTATAAATATCTTTAGAGTTTATAATATATTACCTTCGTCCGATTCAAATTTTATTTACCTTTTTTAGTATTGATTTTTAAATATTAATTATTACAAAAAAACGTAATATAAATTAAGAGAAGAAGACAAAACTATTTCTATTAGTATTTTTTAATACTATTATAATGATATTTCTGCAAAATAATTATACAAATATAAAAATATTTTTAATGTTAAGTCAAACCGAAAAAATATTATACAAATATCATTATTTTTATGTCACACAATATTAATTAGTAGATAATTAACAATGTATTAGTGAAAATAATTATTTTATAATATAAATAATTATAAATTAAGATTAAAATAATTTATTAGTTTAATTAAAATTAAAAATATAAATTAAAAATTTAAAATGAGATTAAAGTGTGTAATTATTTTAAAAGTCACATGGGATGTAGGACGAAGAGAGTAATATTTAATATAAAATAACATTATTTTTATATATCCAATAAATTCTATATCATTCCTTAAAACAAAAAAATTTCAATCAAAACACAAAGTCATTATTTATATTTGGGAGCAAAATGAGGAGAGTTTGTTATAGCCAAAAACTCTGATAAATCTCTCTAATGGCAGTATAAATACAAAGCCCTGTGCGCTGCATATTCCCGTTCATCAATCTTGCAGCTGGAGAGTTCTCGTTTTCGAAAAGAATAGTTTGGTTTTGAATCTGTGCGTGGAATTAATCTGCAGTTTTTTCACCATAAATGACAATAAGTTTGGCCGTCGGCCTTGAATCCTGTCCGGCGAGTGGCGTGATTTTCCGGCCAACGGTGCCGTTCGTGCGTGTGGATACGACGTCGTCGCCGCCGTCGTTGGAGCCTGGCAGCGTTCCTGAGCTTCTTCTCGAGTCTCTCGTCAAGTTCAAGAAAAGGTTTTGTAGATCGATCTGTTTGTTGTTGATTGATGTTGTTTTTACCCTCTGTTTTTGTTTATTTGTTCGGTGCGGGATGTTCCTCCATGTTTGAACCTTCCAAGACCTAATAGCTCTGGTTTAGGTTACTGATTTTGCACTCAAATTCGATTCGTCTGATTGAACATTATTTCCTAATTATTTTGCAGTTTTATCTCAAAAACACTGCACAGATTGCTTTCTAGGTTAGAATCAACGTTGTTCTTCAACATGTAAATTTAATAATTCTGAATGCGACACATCACATGATTGTGGTATAATTAGGAAATACGTGACTATGTAAAAATGCACTACTGTGTATGTCTTCACATGGTAATTGGTAAATACTACTGTCCGCCATTGATAAGCAAAGACACAGACACCGAACTAAATGGAGAAACTAAGAGGAAGATCAGACACCTTGAAGCATGCATTATACATATATGTTTATTAAGTGCTTCACATGCTTAGTTAGAATTTAACACTGACAAAGAACTAATTAGAAGAGGGATGACTGATAAATGCTTACCTAATTTTAGAAAGATTTTACAAATTGGTAAATAAAAATGAAATCTATCAGTATCAGAAGAACTCCACCAATCTACTTATATACTCCTTTGGGTGATTAGATGAATCGTCAAGCAAATCTGTGCTTTATTTTTAACAAGAAATAGAGTACTATCAAATAGACTTGTCGTCTCCTTTTTTTGCCTCTAGAAAATTCTGTGGTGCCATGTTATTATGTTCAAATGACATCCGTATTCTTATTGTTTCCAGAGGAAGTTTTGATTCACTCCAATTGACGAGCTTACGGTGATCATGGAGATTATTCCACAAAAGGTAGTTAAACAATTAGATTCTTCATCGAACAATAGTGCAGTTTTTATGTAAAGCTTATGCAATACAACGATAATTTTGTGCAAGTTAACCCCGGCATGGTGAATCAGGTTTATGGAGTTGAGTAGCACCCCCATGGCTATCTCCTTAGTTATATGTCGTTTTAAAGACCCATTCCGTTTGGCTGCTTAGCAGTGGTATTTTGTCTCGAGCTTTTCTTTCCTATTTAGCTATTGTCGTTCTGCATTCATATGTTGTTAACTAGCTCGGAATGTTCTAACTTTGTGCAGCTGTAGTTGTGCATACATATAAATCTTAATCTTCTATCGAACACTTGTATGTAATTTAATGTGTTTCTTTAGTTTCCTCTATGCCAATCTTTGAGTAAATCTTCCTTCTCTTTACTGATCATTGTCTTTAATCTATCAGGGAACTGCAAGTGTTGTTCATGTAGGAGAATCACTTCATTTAAATTATGAAGACAGTGCAAAAGCCAAACTTTGCATCGACAATAGGAAGCCGGGTGGTTGGGGTCCAGCATCTCTTCTGCTCGGTAATCCGTTTCCTTCTCTACTCATCTTTGATTCTGCAAAAGAAGAGAATTTATTCAATTTGCTTCGATCTTTCTATCAGTGAACCAAGGACTTGCAACATTAGCGTTTTTCGGCGTTGGGGTGAACTTGGTATTGTATTTAACTCGCGTTCTTGGGCAAGACAATGCATCTGCTGCTAACAACGTTAGTAAATGGACTGGGACTGTTTACCTTTTCTCGTTGGTTGGAGCATTCCTCAGCGATTCGTATTGGGGCCGTTACCTTACTTGTTCTCTTTTCCAAGTTATATTCGTTTCGGTAATCAAATCTATCCAGAATCATGATCCTAATACTCATATTGTAAATGATTTTTGTCGTTAGAGATAATGAAATGTGCTTATGGTTGCATCATCTTCAGGGCCTGCTGCTCTTATCCTTATCGTCTTGGTTCATCTTGCTCAAGCCGACAAACTGTGGAAACGGCGTGATAACCTGCATGCCGCCTACTACACTAGGCTCGATCATATTCTACTTGGCTATATACATGGTTGCTTTTGGCTACGGCGGCCACCAGCCCACTCTAGCCACTCTGGGAGCGGATCAATTCGACGAATCAGTCCCCAAACAGAGGAATTCGAAATCTGGTTTCTTCAGCCTTTTCTACTTTTCACTCAACGCTGGCTCGTTGTTTTCAAACACCATATTGGTTTACTACGAAGATACCGGGAAATGGACACTTGGTTTTTGGTTGGCCACCGGCTCTGCTATTCTAGCCTTGATTGCATTCCTGCTCGGCTCCTCTAGCTACCGGTATGTTAATGCTTCAGGGAACCCGTTACCGCGCATTATGCAAGTGTTCGTCGCAGCATTCAGGAAATGGAATGTAAGACTTACAGAAGGCGAGCCATTGTACGAGGTTGAGGGGTCCGAATCCGCCATTCAAGGAAGCCGTAAAATCTACCATAGCGACGAATTTTTGTAAGTTCATATCCATTCTAAGTTAGTTGGTTGACTCCCATTTGTAGATAAATAATAAAATGATGTCATATCTTAAAACCTTTAAGCTTTTAAGTGAGACCGTCATTTACATTGGTATCAGAGCTTTAGGTCTCAAGTTCGAGTCCTCCGTCTCTTGTTTGTCGTTGTCCACGGGGAAGTTTAGTTTGGAGGCTTTTATCCCCTTCCTGTGATGGGGCGTGTTGGCTGACTCTTGTTTGTAGATAAATAATTAAATGATGTCAAATCCTAAAAGTTTAAGCTTTTAAGTGAAACGGTCATTTACATTGGTATCAAAGCTTTAAATCTCAAGTTCGAATCCTACCGTCTCTTATTTGTCGTTGTCCACAAGGAAGTTTAGTTTGGAGACTTTTATCCCCTTCCCGTGATGGGGCTAGTTAGTTGACACTCGTTTTTAGGTCTCGAGTTCAATCCCACCATCTCCACTCTGTGAGGGGGCGATCGTGAAGGGCATGTTGGTTGACTCCCGTTTATAGATAAATAATTAAATAATTTCACATCCTAACAACTTAACTTTTTAGATGAGACGGTCATTTCTAACACTATTTATGATTCAATTTCAGGTTTCTCGACAAGGCAGCAATTGTGACAGAGCAAGACCTCTGCTCTCCTCCAAATCCATGGCGCCTATGCAGCGTAACCCAAGTCGAGGAAGTCAAATGCCTCTTCCGAATGCTCCCGATATGGCTGTGCACAATTATATACTCTCTGGTTTTCTCCCAAATGGCTTCCATCTTCGTTGAGCAAGGCGATGTCATGAATTCCGAGATCGGAAATTTCCATCTTCCCGCTGCCAGCATGTCCTCCTTCGACATCTGCAGCGTCCTCATCTTCACAGGCATTTACCGCCAGATCGTCACCCCTATAGCCAAAAGGTTCACTGGCAACCCCCGAGGCCTAACCGAGCTCCAACGCATGGGCATCGGAATAATCATTTCGATGCTCGCCATGGTCGCCGCCGGCGTAACGGAAATGGAGAGACTCAAGAGAGTAATTCCGGGAGTCCGCGTCAGCCCGATGAGCATATTCTGGCAAGTCCCTCAGTACGTGCTGGTCGGAGCGTCGGAGGTTTTTATGTACGTCGGGCAATTAGAGTTCTTCAACGGCCAAGCTCCCGACGGGATCAAGAGTTTCGGGAGCTCGCTGTGCATGGCGTCGATTTCCCTCGGGAACTTCGTGAGCAGCATGTTGGTTAATATTGTGATGAGGATCACGACGGGAGGCAATCGGCTTGGCTGGATACCGGAAAACTTGAATCTCGGCCATATGGATCGATTCTACTTTCTGATTGCGGCGCTCACAGCCGTCGATTTTGTTGTGTATGTGTTTGCTGCCCGGTGGTATAAGGCCATAAACGTTGAAGAAAGTGAGCATTCGAGTTCGACGAATGAAGGAGAAATTTGAGGTTCCGAGGTACGTCTTTATTGATCATTGTCGGAAAGTTTTACTTAGGATTATGAAGGCGAGTAATGGTTGTCTATGATGCTATTTTACTTTTACTCACATTAGTAGTTTAATTATGTTAATTTAAAACTATGTTACATATTAGTAATTTTAGTTGTGACATTTATATAATTACCCAAACGAAAAGAATATATGTTTATTAAATATTATATCAGTTGAAGAATAGTATTTTTTTTTTTATTTAAATTAAAAAACGAACATACATATAAACTTTTAAAATTTTACATTAAGAAAAAAAAGCCCTTACCTAGAAGGTAAAAGGTTATTAGTTGTTTATCATTGTGTGTAAAAGGATTGTAGCTGGTTTGAGCTAGAGATGGAATTCTTGGCCCTCTTTCCCTTCATGCCCTGACACAAAGTGTACATATATACGTCCGAAGGATCATCAGTTCAAACTCTCGATGTTTCAGTTCACTTGAATACATGGTTCATCTAGTGTGATTTATCTTGTCGGATTTAGTTTGCAAAGTACTAGATTCGGTCGGAAATTTACAGTGTGCACTTTCAGGTAACGACTGCAAATTCTGAAGTCATTAAACAGAAAATAGAATTGTACATATATATTATATTGTATATATATACATACTTATAATATATGCTATGTGTGTTTATATATCATATATATATATATATATAATACTATATATACACAATATGTAATAAAAGGGATTGGGGGCTGGTTAGGGAGAGACCGGTGATCCCATGCCATTGGATACATTACAATAGAATTATAGAAAATATGTAATAATAATACTCCGTCTGTCTAATAAGTATATATTTTTTTTAGAATGATTTGATAATAAAATAAAGTATTTGTGAAAAAAAATATGATATTTATTAATAATTATTTTGTAATTGATAATTAAAATAAAAATATGTATATTTTTTTAATTGGACAATGAGAGGATAAAAATGTTGTTTATCATGTGCTGAAAAATATGAGATTGATGTTTTATCTATTGAATTTTTTGGGATGAAATTGATTTATGGAAGATTTGAAGGGAGAACTGTTGATTTTAATGGGTAAATCTTGATAGTTTTTTTTTAGTACGACTCTTTATATTTTTGGGAGATTTCATGCATAGTTGAAGAATTTTTACGGTGGAATCTTGGAGAACAAGTTAAAATCGATTCTAGACTTCATTGGATTTGTACAAGAAAGGTTTTTGGGTGGAGATACAAGCGACATCACAAGTCGAAGTAACGGGATACATCTTGAGTGACGAACGACACGACGTTCAAAAGCTGGTGACAAGTTAATAACAATGCTTACCGATAGAGTTGTGTGGCTGTTGATTTGGTGTTTTTGACTTGAATAACACTTTCTTCTGGCGGACCGAATTCCCCGAATAAGTGCTTCTTATATGATCGTTAATTTGGAACTAAATCCGAACCTTCTAGAAGCTCAAACTCGTCGTAAAATTGGACTCACCCCCGCTCAATTCCCCAATGAATTCGTGTAGTAGAAAAGCCTCAATGAATTCCAACCCCGCCGTTGCATGAAATTCCGTCGCTATTGGAGCAACCTTTATCCATTGATTTATGAGGACACCAATCTATAGATGTCTGAAAGCAGACATGCCGGAATGTGAAATCTTCAAATATTAGAATTGATGTCATCTCCTTGGTCCACAAAGAAAGAGGTCGTTTGAGAGAAAAATTAAGGTATATATAAATGCGACACAGTATAATAATAAATTAAATCGAAAATACTCTAGCCAAGGAAAAACATATCACTATCAAAATTGTGACCATTTTTGCTACAACAATTTCATGTCGACGTAAGGAAGAAGAAGACAATGCCCAACAAATTAAGGTATCAATTGACACAAAAGATGCACGATCAAATCTCAACTCGCATGTACAACTTCGACACTCCAATATTGAGTCGACTCTTTTTATGAGCACGGCCTTCATCGGGCTGGGCCATGGAGCCCGGGATCGCATAAATTTTGCCTTTTCAAAAAAAAAAAAAAAAAAGAAATCGTTACATAGTACCATCATGCAATTCTTCATCTCCGTGCGCAAAATTGCACTCTATTTGTTGATAAATAAATAAATTATGGGTATCCCTAATAGCTTAAGTTTTTAGGTGAGATGATTATTTACATCATCTAATATGGTATCAGAGCCTTAGTCTCATGTTTGAGTCTCACGGTCATCTGTTTGTGGTTGTTCATGGGCAAGTTTAGTTTGATTGACTCCCGTTTGTAGATAAATAAATAAGTTTTTAAGTGAGACGGTCAAGAATGGAATAAACATATTAGCAGTAACAACCGAAGCCGTGATCTGAATGTATTGTTGGTTGGGGTCCATTTCGTGATCTATGATAGCGAGCTTGATCCCGTGGTTAAGGTAAATTTTATCGGAGAAGGTAAGGATGTATCCGCCGACTTGCCTAGCCCGGAAAGCGTCGATGGGGACTTTAGCAGTGATTGAGGCCGGGTCTTGCGACGTGGATGCTTCCGTCGTCGCATTGGCATTGACATTGGTTGTGTTGTAATTTGAGCGTAGTCTTGGCGTCCATAGGTCGTGTTGGCCGTGCGCAAAATGGCACGAGTCCGCGAGTTGGCACTCGTCAGGTGTGTCATATTTGTGGCATAGCTTAGTCTTGAATTTCCGAGGAGGCATCGAAATGGAAGGGTCGTAGCCGAGTATTTCAGCGGCAGCAGCAAGGCCGCCGGGAAGATGATGCGAAATGTAGCATGCCCCTCTGAATTGACACCTGGTGCGGCTGCAATCAATGCAAGTCGCCGCGCCGCACAAAAGATTTTCGATAAAAATATATTATTTCATTTCGAAGAAAGATTAATTAGGTTGAGAGAGGTGAAGATTAGAACCTGAAATGGAATGTACATGGCGTTGGTTTGTTTTCTCTAGCAGAAGTAGATGACGGATCCATTTCTGAAATTTTTTATAAAATTTAAATTTTTAATTTTTTTTTTTTGACGTGAGAACCCGCAGCCACTACCGAAACTGTGCACTGATAAACCTCCGGCCGAATCTAATATTTGCCAAGTGTGAGCTTCTTCCTTGTTAGTTACTTACCGATTTACCTACTTTACATTTCTGGTTTACTTTCTAGCTTTCTTGTTCTTGATTCTATTTTTTCTTTTAGGAATAATATTTCTACAGAAGCAAACATCACAAAGACGACAGTGGCAGTGGCAGTAAGAAATCAACTCAAGGTCTGCCCTCGAAACTATTTTTGTATTTTGTTTATTTAATTAATTTGTTCATTCTTTATTTCTTTCTTGATAACATTATAAATGATCGATGAACACTATTAATCCATTAATATTTCAGAAATGGATCCGTCCTCTACTTCTGCTAGAGAAAACAAAGCAACGCCATGTGCATTCCATTTCAGGTTCTAATCTTCACCTCTCTCAACTTAATTAATCTTTCTTCCAAATGAAATAATATATTTTTATCGAAAATCTTTTGCGCGGCGCGGCGACTTGTATTGATTGCAGCCGCACCAGGTGTCGATTCAGAGGGGCATGCTACATTTCGCATCATCTTCCCGGCGGCCTTGCGGCTGCCGCTGAAATACTCGGCTACGACCCTTCCATTTCGACGCCTCCTCGGAAATTCAAGACTAAGCTATGCCACAAATACGACACACCTGATGAGTGCCAATTCGGGGACTCGTGCCATTTTGCGCACGGCGAACACGAGCTATGGACGCCAAGACTACGCTCAAATTACAACACAACCAATGCCAATGCCAATGTCACGACGGAAGCATCCACGTCGCAAGACCCGGCCTCAATCACTGCTAAAGTCCCCATCGACGCTTTCCGGGCTAGGCAAGTCGGCGGATACATCCTTACCTTCTCCGATAAAATTTACCATAACCACGGGATCAAGCTCGATATCATAGATCACGAAACAGATCCCAACCAACAATACATTCAGATAACGGGTTCGGTTGATACTGTTAATATGTTTATCCCTTTTTTCCGCGACGCTACAGCAGCGGACATTGCAGACATGATAGGCACCAGATCTTCCCGGCTCCGCGTCGGGGCCAGCAACTAAGCTTTGCAGCTACTATTTGAATGGTTCTTGCGGCTTCGGAGACAAGTGGAATTTTGCGCACCGAGAAGAAGAATTGCGCGGTACCAATGTATAGACGAAGTTGTACATGCGACGTCTTTTGTGTCAATTGATACCTTGTTTGGCCATGGGCCTATTTGGATTGGCGGGTTCGATTTTACATTTGAATGAATCATTATAAAAACAGTTTTTTCATAAAAATACTATTTGGATATAATAAAATTGAGAGCGCCGAGTCTGATGGTTCTCCATGAACACCTTCCCGTCGGCCTAACAACTCCTTAGCACTCACGAGAACGCTAGTACAGCCTCGCACACGGCTATCTCTAAAAAATAGCAAGAACACCATAAGATGCACCCGGCAAAGTAGAAGACGATGATGGTAGCAGACCCACTGATAGTCGCAGTTCTAAGAAATCAAAGCAAGGTCTGTTTTGGTCTCTTCCCATTTTCAGCTTCGAAACTATTAATTCTCTGTATGTTAATTTGGTCATATAATTTGTTCTTTCTTGATAATTTAAATGAGGAACACTTTTAATTCTTTCTGCTATAGGAACCGTTCCAAAGCCGCTATATATGCACAAAGTTTTCCAAGTTCTAATGTTGATCTGTCTAAAATTATCATCGAATCTTATGTTAAATGAAATAATATATTTTTACACAAGAATATATACTAAGAATTACATAAAAAAATCTTTGGTACAATTTTTTGAAAGGTTCTTGCTCCTTAGGAGACAAGTGCTATTATGTATAGTGGCGGAGCCAAAGTTATTCTACAGAGACAGAGACAGTTGAAGGATTTTCTTAAAGTAAAAAAATTAGACATGCATATTATTTTTTGCATATTATTTTTTAGCAGAATGAATGATAAATATATATATATAGACATATATTTAATAAATATGAAAATATTAACTTAGTAAGAATTGATCGAATTAGACGGACAAACAATCAATATAATAAAAAAATACCATCGATGTAGTAGTAGTGACAATGGATCGGGAGCTAAAGTACATAAGTGGCTCCTTTTCTTAAATGTCCACACCCGGGTTGAGAAAGTCGGTGGTTACAAGGAGTTCAAATAGTAAAAACTTGGATAAAAGTAAACGAAACACACAATAAGTAATACATTGATCTTTCAAACTATAATCTTCAAAAAGCATTTATAATTAATATAAAGAAAGAATTATGACCAAATAAATATAAAAATGGTTTCGAACACCTTGCTTTGATTTCTTAGAACTGCGACTGTTAGTAGGTCTACTACCATCATCTTTGTCGCGATTTTTCTTGTTTCCAGACACCATTCCGATTAAATAGAAAATAAACTGTAAAGATATTCTTAAAATAGAACCAAGAACAAGAACATGACAAACTATACAAAGAAAGATAAACTACGAACTAACAAATGCCATGGATCAAGTTCTTGGCAGAAAAAATAGTCAAAACTCAAAGGTTCAATGGAAAACACTTTAGGTGTTGAGACCGACATTGGAACTTTGGAATTGGGAGAATGCCAAGGGATAGAGGAACCCCAAATCTCTTTGAATGCTGTGGCTGGTCAGGTCCCTTCCAACACCATTAAGTTGTTAGGAAAGTCCAGCAACTATGAAGTGGTTATTTTGTTAGACTCAGGCAGCACGTTGTCGCTCAAAATATTTTTCGGAAGCTTATCGAGGCAAGTCTATCAAAATTCGGGTGGGTTATCCGACTTCCACAAAAAAAAAATCCGATGTTCGCAAAAATAATAAATCAATAATAGAGAAAAATGAGACAAAGAAAAAGGGAAAGAAAACAAGAAAAATAAAAGAGAGATGATAAGAAATTAAAGAAAGTTGGAAACAAAATAAAAGCAGGAAAGTAAACCGAAAGGAAAAAAAAATTGCATAAATATTACTCCCTCCGTCCCAAATACCGTGCAACATTTGATGTCTCAAACACCTGCAATATTTCTAAATTAGGAAATAATTAATTATATTGAATCTATATCTCCATACTTTATCTCATCACATCGCTATAATACAAAAAATAAAATATACACTTCTCTCTTTATCACATCACCTAATTACTCAATTATTCTACTTCATACTTCTCACCTAAAATCTCGTGTCTAACATAAATGTAACACCTTGCTTGAAAAAGAGGGAATAAAATTTATGTGGAAAGAGAAAAGACAGAGAATGAGCAAGGAGAGGGTCTCTTATTTTATTTTTTCCAAATTACAGAGAGGTGAGAGTAGAAAATAAACTTGTATAGAAAAGAAAAATAGAGAATTTTGAGAAATAGAAAATATATACACGATGCATAAAGAAAATTGCTAGTTAAAAAAATGATTCTTCTAACGTATTAAAGGAGCTTCCAAGATGGGCTCTCGCAATGTTCATTGGGCCCTCCCTTTTTTTATTCTAACTAATATTTTGGATAAGTATATCACATTGTTGTATTTTTCTTTTTTTTAAAAAAAAAAAAATATATATACAAAATATTTTGTATTTTATTTAGTGTGAAAAATAATTTTATGTTAAATTAAATTATTCATAAAATATTTTTTTTATATTTAGTTGTAAATACATCTTAATTTTATACAAATGAAAATAGAAAAATATTTTTTTCAATAATATTTTTTAATAAGTACATATTTACAAATAAAAATATTGGACGAATAGAATGTTTTGTCCTTACTTTAAATTAATATAAAAATTTCACATAATAAATAAATTTTGCATAAAATAATTTCACGCAATATAAAACACGCAATCAAAATCTTTGAACAATCATTTAATCTTATTTTTGGAGATTGAAAATTGAATGTTTTAATCTTTTTTTGAAATCAGAGAATTTTTATTTATTTATTTTTTTAACTATTATAAAAACACAAGATTAAAACTCTAAATTTTCAATCTCCGAATTTAAGAATAACAATGATCTGATTTCTAAAAAGCAATCAAAAAAAAAAAAAAAAAATCACAAAATTGAGTAACTGGAAATTGGGGTGTCTCATTCATCATTTAATTTGGAATCACACAAGATTAAATTAGAATCTTAGTGTTCTTTTTTGGATTTTAACAAAGATTTTTATTATTCAAATTCTTTTTTTTTTTTCCAAAAATATCATATCAAATAAATTTTTATTTTTTATTATTTATATTATACTATAAATTTATTTTACATTCAAAACATCACATCAATCTCTATATATAGCATATCGAATAACTATTCAAATTTTAATTTTTTACTAGAATCCAAACCCAAAAACTAAAACTCATGAACAAACACACCATAAGGGTCTATTTGGTTAGAGGGTTTAGGAGGGGACTCCAATTTTGGGAATTTGGAGGAGAGAGATTTTATTAAAGATTTATTTTATTTAATTATCTATTATACCATTTAAATATTTTATTAAAAATTTGATAACATCTTCAAAATTTTAATATTTATTTATTTTATTTTCAATTATATCAAATAAATGTTAACATATATATTTTACATAGATTTAAATTATATTATATATTTTGAAATATTTTTAATTAAATATTTTAATCAAGTTTAATTATAATAGTTTTTAACAAATCATATCAATTAATATATAATTATATGTATAATAATAAGGTTATTTTAATAAATAATTTTAAGAATAATTTAGTTTTGAATAAATATTATTTTTTTAAAAAATAAACAATTTATAATTTTTCAAAAATAATTTTAATACAAGCATAATATTCACTCAACGATTTCGACTTAAATCTCAATACAATCTTGCACTAAAGACATAAGCAAAATGATTTAAAAAATTATTTTATCATATTTGACAAATACATTTTGTATGACATTTTATGAATAAGTTATCGAATTTTATTAAATACTTTTATTTTTTTATTTATACTAGGGCAAAATAGTAATTTCTTTGTTTTTCCTCTCCTCCCCAGCTTAACCAAATACAAAAATATTATTTTTTCTCTCTTTGCCTCCCTTTTCTCCCGTATGAACCAAACACACTATTACAAATGTCAGTTTGCACATGTAGAAGAAAACTTGCGCAAGGCCAATGTATAGATGAATCGGTGCTCGAAAAAAGAAAAAAGTCTACCCAATATTGAAATGTTAGACTATGTACAATGGATAATTTAGCTTTGGGAGAATTCTATAATCTTCTTTTTGTGGTACAATTTACCTATTTTTTAAGACTTCGCGTCATAGATTTTTTTATCAAAAATTTGTATGTTTTTTTTATAGGTTTGAGAAAAATTTAATTTGTGTTTGATATTAAAATAATATTATATGATAAGATGTTTTGTAGAAAAAAAAAATGTATTTTTTTCGAAGTTTAGTGTTAAAAGAAACAAACAAATTTCTCTAATTGACATCAATATATTTATTATTTTATAGAATATTGTAAAAATTATAAATAAATATATTTCTTTTTTAAAAAAAATTATACTATAACATTCTATATTTAATAAAATGGTTTATAATGTAAAAATGTAATATCTAATTGAAAATAATTTGTAAATATAATTGAGTTATTTTTCATATTATAAATATTATTATAAATTTAAAGTTAAATATATTCATTTGTGCAAATTTATATTCACTTTTTTTTTTCTTTTTTCTGTAGATATCTTTTTGAACATACTCAAACATTTTGAGAACCCAACAATGCTTTCATCCAAATACTCCAATTGACATAACTTTCTTTGGAGATTTTCTAAAATTTAAAATTTGAAAAACAACAATGCTATAAAATATATGTATATATACACAAATTTATTAAAATAAATAAAAAAAAAAGAAAAGAAAAGAAAAGGGCCCAATGTAAAATGCGAAAAGCCCATCTTAGAAGCCCGGTGAAACATCGGAAGATCATACTTTGAGAGTCTGTTTGGTTCAAATGAAGGTAGGAGAACGGGGGATTTTAACGAAGGGGCCGGGGAAAATAATATTTTTGTATTTGATTAAACAAAGGAATGAAAAAATATAATAATTTTACTGTTTTATCTCTATACTGTATAAATAAATAAAAATAAAAGTATTTAATAAAACTTTATTAATTTATTAATAAAACATCAATTTTGATAT